GAGCCTTATGGAGGTAAGCATGAGAATCCATCAGTAAAGTGGCTTGAAATTTGCAGAGATGTGAGCAGAGTATTAGTGGTGGCTTCTTTGATCCTTGTTGCAGTTTCCAGGCCTGGTCTGTCTGTAGTAAACCTGGCCCTTCTTGCTTCTGGGCACTGGCTTCCCCTTATCCTTCTGCAGGCAGCTATTATCTCTGTTTCTTCTGGCCCCAGATCACTGCAGCTCTGGTCTCACCTATGCCTCCTGCCTGAGCTTCCTCCCATTCCCTTTGGTCTGCCCACACTTCTCTCCTTTTCTTCCTGTTGTCCTTGATTCTCCCTGCTCCAGGCTGCAACAGCATCTGAGTCCAGACAAGCCACATCTCCTTCATCCTTTTTCTTCAAACACCACCTCTCAGTAATGCCCTTTTACAATCACTACTTTGCACAGGTCTGTGACTTTTTACCCTGGGAGCTCTCCAAGGCAGGGGACTCAGATGTCTGTTTGCGGTTTATCTGCATATCATATTTTAGCTGGTACAAAGAAAATCTAGTGCAGTATAATTAATAATCCTAACACCAGAGAGCATGCTCCACGTCTGGCCTCAGTCGGGCAAAGATGGGAAGAGAAAGAATCTTATACAGGGGTTGCCCAGCTATGGGCTCTTTGAGGTGACACAGCAGTGAGATACTAAGGAAGTGACAAGACTCCAGCGTTGTGAATATATGCGTGAGAACACATGTAGCAGCCCGAATAGTGAGTTGCAGCGAGTGGCTATAGAAAGGGAATGACTGGCCACACACCGATTGCTCTGCTTACTGTGGCTGATCCAAGCTGGAGGAGATTTGGTTTCTGAATGATCCTTACAAGCCAGCAGTTCAGCAGCATTAATTTGTTCATGTCCTGTAATCTATACCACTGGCACCAGTGCCACTTAGAGGAGGCAGCCACTCTTATCCTTGCCAGCCAGCTTCTGATATTGCAGTCTGCTCACGCATACGTGTTTTGTCTCTAGTTGCGGCACTGCTGTGTTCACATGTTCTTCAGCTTCCCTGGGCTGCCAGTCATTGCTAATGTCTGGTTCGCCACTGTCTGTCCAAGTCGCCTCCATTTATATGTGGCCCTTTTTCTTCATCGTTCATTCAACCCAAGCTAGACAGCCTACATGACAACCTGCTGTCCCAAGCTTCCTTGTTCCTGAGGAGAAATTGTAACTCTTTCTCACCCAGTAGGTAACAAAGCAGAGGGAGTCAGTAAACTGAGACATGCCTTTCTCATAGAAAAAAAATGCAGAAACATCTAATTCTTCACATCAGGTCTTTTGCACAGAGCCAAGATATGGCTGTGCTGCCATCATGGGACTCAGGGATGTGGTGACTTTCATGGAGGGAGAAATATCCCTTATCTTTATTGCCATTTCTGTGGCACTGGGGGGTCTGACCCTAGCAAACTTCCCTGAGTCACACCTAGTGACTGGAGCACTGAAGGCTGCTTAGTAACAGCCCTAAAAAAAATCCTGAGCTGGATCTCTCAGCCAAGTGCTGTTGTTCTCTTGTGAAGAAGAAAACTCTTCCCCACAGCTGGAATAGCAAATAAGCTATGTGGTGGGTGTGTGAGGATTGTCTCTGCACCAAAGACCACCACATTTCTCTGCCCTGTGGCACAGCAGCCCAAGCACAATTCTAGTTACTTCCAACAAAGCTGGAACATGAGAGGTTTTTTGCAGTACAAAACTCCACCCTGACACTTGATATCTCCTCATGCTGCTCTCCTCCTGCTTTTCCCCTATCACTGTGACCATCGTGCTAACCCAGCAGCTCCATTCACTGCAAAGCTCCTAGTCTGGCTCCTGGTCAAGTAGATACTTGGAGTGTCCCTTTGCTCTTGGGACGTCAGAGTGGGTTGCCTTAATTTGGTGGGTTTTATTTGTTCCTAGCAAGCAGACAAGTGAGTATAGCTTTTTACTATTGTTCAGTAATGTTGTTGATAAACCCAAGCTGTATGGCTCCATGTTTTTACAGCAGCAACATCTTAACATCTCTGCCAGCAGCCTGTTGCTTCTTGAATGATACCTAGCTAGGTAACAATCTGCCCTCTTCTCCCCTTTCTAGTACCTCTTGCCCTACTAGCTGGTCTGTAGTTCACTTGCCACACCTAAACTGAACCACGGGATGTGGTCAGTAGTTCAGTTCAGCATCAAAGAAAAACAAGAGGTGTCTGTATCTGGAACCTCTGTGTCTTATGCAAAAGGATCCTGGAGTCCTGTGCGTGCAGGGATAGCTGCCATCTTTGAGGTGGCATATGGCAGGTGTTTAACAAGGCACATCAGCACTGCACATTACATCTTTAGGGAGAAATTGAAAACTGTGTTGGGATCCTCCATGTAATCTCCTGGGTTTGGAATTTGGCCAAGAAGTCTAAGTTATACATGCCAGGGGAACTTAATAACCAAGAGCAGCCAGGACTCTGTTTCACTATGTTTCCAGCAAGACAGTTACCAACCAGGATCCATGCAGGAGCATTAGCTCAGCAAGTATATACAGAAAATTTGCAGAAACAGTTAGTACCATTTGTGGCAGCTCTAGCAGGTTCTCTGTGGAGGAAAGACCTAGGAGCTCTCCTTCCTGAAGGAATCCATCTCCAACCTAGGAGAGCTGGGAAGTTCCTGGCTCTGGGAGGTCAGGCTGCTGGTTCATTTAGACTGGCTTCTTCCACGTGCAAACTGCACTTTTGGTACAGAGGAGGGAATGCTGCGCTGGCGATTTTAGCTATACCACAACAGTCTGCACTTCAGTCTTGTGGCTGAAGCAATAACCCTTTCCCACCCACTCCCACTTCCTGTGTATCAAGCCCAGAAATGAGATTTTGAGGACATCTGGAAAGGTCCTCTGGCATTTACGTAATGCCGGTGTTTCCAGCATGCTCAAGAGCAGTGGCTTGGGGCAGTCTCAGAGCATCCACACTGCCTTATTTCCTACAGTGGACAGATATTCCCTGGTTACTGGAACAGAGGATGGTCCTGTTACCAGGGAAGGGACCACGCCATTTCTGCTGCTCTCAAGACCCTTCAGGGCCTCCTTACTTCATTGAATGGGGCTGCTCTCCCATCCCTCTCTCTCACTAGGTGAATTGCTTTGGTCAAGTGCATCAGGAATTGCTGTGTCACTTTTGAAGCTGTCTCTTTTTTTTCACGTCACCAGCTGGCCTTGATTAGAGTGTGAGTCCCCACCGGCTTCAATTAAGGAGCAGATGTGACCCAAGAAATGGGATAGCAGCTGGGGATGGAGATGGCATATTCATAGCACTAAGTCTAATCAAACAACTTCTCACATTATTCTCACTGTGAGGTGGGAGACGTGTGAGCCAAAGGCAAGTCAGTGCTCGGAGCGCCTGCTGAGACACGTTGCTAGCAAAGCCATCTGTAATGAGCTGACCATGCCATTCAACACAGCAGTGTAATCTCAGTCAAGGGCTGCTTTTAATTCATTTAAATGCAGTAAAGGACCCAGAGGCTGAAAGTTGAGCCAGGTACCTGAAAAATAATGTGGTTACTGTCAGGCAAGGGCTAACCAGCAAGGAAGATGCTGCTGCACTGAACCTGGAGACATCATTGTGCCCGTAGCAAAGGGGATGCTGTTGTCCTAGACCTGGAGATGTGATTATGCTCCTGGCATAGGAGGTGTTGGTGAATTAGACTTGTTGACATGGTTATACCTGTGGTGGAGGAGTTGCTAGGGCAGACCTGGAGACGCCATCATGTTCATGGTGGACGAGAAGCTGTAGAAATTCTTATGTTCATGACAAAGGAGATTTCTCATATTTGACCTGTAGTGGGTAGATGTTGCCTTGAGGCAAGTAGATTTTATCAGGCCTGAGGGAGAAGAGTAGTTATAATACAGGAGGTCTGCTATAGAGACAATTCTTTTTCCTTTCTGAAGCTTCGTCCATCCAACAGCCATTGGCTACCTTTGCAGATGCTGGTGCAGTCTTCCGCATTTCAGTAGGCAAGCTTGTGTTTTTCCCTACCTTCTATTAGTTTTAATTTAGTGCTAGTGGAAGGTGCCAGATTGGTAGCTCCTGGAAGTGAGGTTCCTCTTGTTAATTGAAATAGGTGGCAGCCCACTGGGTTCTGCTCACCCTGCCTGCCTGGCCCCGGAAACCTTTAGAAAAAGTAACAAACATCATCCTACTCCCCTTACCTCAGCAGAACAGATAAATGTCATTATCCCTATGCTAGTGAAAAGGGAAAATGAGGCATGGAGTGGAGTGGTAAAATGATTTACCTCCCAAGGTAAGACAATAAAGATAAAGAGGGGACTAGAACTCCAGAGTACTTATAGTCAGTCCTCTGATTTAACCACTGAGTTGCACTTCCTTGCAGACCTTTTGATGCTTGCATTAAGTACAGCCTCTCTAATGCTCCCCATGGAGTGTATGCTGTATTGGGGCAGACAGTGTACATCCCTCCAGAGGGATAGGCAATTTATATATTTTTAACTTTCCTCTACTGAACAATGAACAGGAGAAAATGGATTTCAGTGTTTAGGAGCTAATGCAGCTTGCAGGTCAGACTGGATTCAAGGAATTACTACTACTGTTATTTTGATTTAAGACTTGTGGGTCTAATGCAAGCTGCAGAGCTCAGCAATGTGGGTTGTATGTCTGATCACAAAGGGTGGCTTGCTGAAACTCCAGGGCTCAGCAGTAATGTCCCACTATAACGGCTTGGATCAAGATGAAACCTTGTCTCTCCATCCATGTTTTTCATAGGTGGCTCCCTCTCCCCTCCCCCCATATGTCAGACTTGCAGCCTGTTCTAGTCCAGATGCAAGTGGCTGACAGAGAGCTGATGGGACTCTTGGCTGGACAAATCTTTGGGAAATAGGAACTATACTCTATCAAAACTGGTGGGTGCCTGCATCGTGACGGATGCTATGGCAATGACTGAGGGTTTAAGTGGTACAACAGACTGTGCTGGAGACTGATGGCTTTTCTGTCTGTTTTTGTCATTTGGCCTCCAGTCCCCCCAGTGGTGGAACCAACTTTCCAGGACATTCGCCAGGGCTTAGGCCGCAGCGTCACCCTGCGCTGCACCATGCTGAAGGGAAGTCCCATGAAAGTTGCCACTGCTGTCTGGCGTTTCAATGGGAATCTCTTGACGCTGCCCCCTGCAGAGCAGCAGGACTACTCAGAGCTGAAAGTGGACAGCGTGAGCCGGGACACCAGTGGTAGCTATGAGTGCAGCATTTCAAATGATGTGGGGGTCTCCACCTGCCTCTTCCAGGTGTCTGGTGAGTCTTGCAGGTTGCCTTGTTCTTGTTCTCTTTTTAATTGACTTGTGTAATGCACCTAGTGGCTGGGGAGACAGAAGCCCCCTTCTCCTTAAGAAGAAATAGTGCAAGCAAGCTTCTTCCACACCATTTCTGAACCAGAATGCTACAGTTGTTCTGGAGGGACCATTCTCTGGATCCAGAAGGGGAGATCAACCTCTCTGTCTCATGCAGTCCTTCGTACCTCTGCTGGTACTGCCTGGGAGGGAAGCCAATCAGTGCCAGTTGCTTTGGTACGTTTTTGTGGCATGCACACCAGCCTGAAAGAAACAGGGCTGGAACCCACCCCACACGTCACACAGGCTTACTTATATGGCTGTTTGATGGTATCAGTTGTAAGCTATAGCCAACCTGAGTTGGATTTAAACGTTCAGCAACTTGGGAAGAAAGATGGTGCATCTCAGCATAAGTTCCCTAAAGAACCCAGTCCCCTCTTTGAAAACAAAGCCATTCCTAAAAACATGCATTCCCCTGGTTTCCCTAAGTCTTTGGACTGTCTTTCTGCAGCGATGCCTGGTTTTTATCTAAGCAGACAGGAGTGATACTCAGTGGATTTGCCACTCAGCTTTGCTTAAATCCAGCATGTACAGCAAACAAAATCCTTCCCAAGACCATAGGCACAAATGGGGCAGCAGTGTTTCAGCAGCAAAAAACACGTCTGCCCCAGCTACTTCTGCTGATCATTAAATCTGCTTTTCCCATGACCTAAGGATTGACTTGGGTGCCGGTTTCCAGACAAGCTCTTTATAAGGAGCTGTCTTGATCAGCGATAGACTCAGCTGAGGTACAGAGCTTTCTCACCACTAGCCGTGCAGTGTATTCCTGGACAAGCCTGAGCAAACCAGATCAAAGGGAATACAAAGAGGCCAGATCTTTTCTGAGGTTTGAAAGGCTCCAATGCCAGCACCTCCCATTTGCTGTGGCTGAGGTCTCACAATGTTTCTGCCCTTTAGGTTGTCCTTTCAGGAACATAATTGGTAAAACCCAGCCTATCTATTAGTTCCAGGAATATCATTGCTCTCAGCAAGTTTCCACCTGATTTTTTTCATATGTGCAAAGTTGGGATAATTCAGAGAAACATCCCAGCATTTAGATGCTCCAACAAGCCAAGCAGCAGAAATCACAGGAGAAGCTATAAAGCTGAGCTCTTCTGACATGCTCTTGAGCCACTACCTGAAATCAGGATTTCAAGTACCCTACAGTTCACATTTTGGTTTAATGGTTCTTGAAGAACTGGGAAGATTTGAATTTTGAACCCCCTCAAAGTTTGGGTGTAAAGAGTCATCTTCACAGGCCCTGTATTGTGCTCTATGTTGCTGCAAGTGATGAGAATGTCCACCTCTGTGCATGTGAAAGTTAGCAGAGGGAGGTGAGAGGTAGGTGAGGACTGCTTTGTCTTATGTCCTGATTGTCACTCTTCAAGCATTTGCAGCAAGGTGATCACAGAGACTTCCCTCAGTTATGTCCCTCTTTTCTAGACATCCCACTCTCATCCCTTTAGACTTCTGGAAGTTCATGTGACCCCAGATTGCTTCTAAAAACTTTGGTCCTCACTACCCTTTCTTCCTACGCCCCTGGTACTTCTCCCACAAATTAAATCATGGCAAAATGCGATCCTCTGTGCTCTGCCAAATGACACTTAATTTCTTGTGGTGTAGGCGATGTGTAGGAAAGGCACAGGGGGGCACATTGCCCCCCCGAGATTGGCTGCCATTCCACTCCCCCCCACTGTTGATGTTCGCCACCCCCATCCCCCCCACCACCAACACCACTGGTGGCAGCTGCAGGCAGTCCCCACTCACCGCCATGGTGCCCCCCCACTCATGGGAAGCACCAATCATTCAGGTCTTGTGGGCTCAGAAATGCTTCTAGCATGTGAATTCT